GAGGAGGACCGTCCGGTCCGGCCGCAGCTGTTGTTGTGAAGTCTCCTTATAAGGAGCTGCTCCTCACCCCCGGGAAGGAGGGAGATGGGATGTTGGCAGAGGAGAGTAGGAAAAGTGAGGAAGAGAGGAGTGTCGGCTGATGAGAGACAAAAAGAAAAAACAAAAACTGCTTTCATTTCAACAGGAAAAAGAACTGAACCGACGATAAAGAACAGCAGAGCAGGACCAGGACCAGGACCAGGACCAGAGACCAGAACCAGGACCAGGACCAGGACCAGGGACCAGGACCAGGACCAGAGACCAGGACCAGGCCCCGTGGACTGGCACAACTTTGGTCCACAGGTCACCACAGGTCAGAGGGGGGGGGGTCGCACAGGGGGTGGGCACAGGGGGGGGGGGGGGGGCTACATAGAGAGGAGACAGTCCAACTACAGGAACTGGTTGACGGTTCTCAACATTCCTCTGTCTCCTGATTGGGTTCAGGTGAGACGGCCAATCACAGCAGAGGAGGTTGACGCCGGCTGAGACTCTAAGATCAGGAGGGAATCAAACCAACATCTTATCTCCGAGTAAATCAGCAGCGTGACAGCCACAGGACTCACGGACACCGTCCTCTGTCCTCCGTCCTGGGGGTGTGTGTGTGTGTGTGTGTGTGTCGGAGGGAAACTTTACTCTCTCTCCACACACCAGAAGATGTTGGCACATCAAAGTTCAGTTCCTCCCCCTTTTTTTTTTTTTTTCCTTTTTCTTTTGCCACTGGCCGTTTTCCAGCATTCATTGGAACAAAAATGTCTCCTTCATGCTTGACACAACATGCGACTCAGCAGCTGAGAATGAATGAACCTGAGAGGGAAACAATGTTGACGAGAGAGAGAGAGAGAGAGAGAGAAGAGGTCCATTTAATGGCCGTTCCCTCTGTGTGGGTGGTTATTTTGGCTGCACGGGGCCTGGTGCGGCTAACTGATGTTTGTCAGTGTGTCTGTGAAAGGCGTCCAGAGGCAAACTGGGCCACATTCCTCTGGGATCTCTATGGCAGCTGCACAGAGGGACTCCAAATGTCTGCTTCTCTTCCAGCAGGCACTCCTGCCTTTCACAGCTCACAGAGATTGTCTTGGTCTGACTGAGCTCTCTCTCTCTCTCTCCCTCTCTCCCTCAGTGCAGACCCCGCTCTCCCGCTACCTTCAGAGAAAGCCAATTATTAACCAGGAGCCCAGGGTGGAACAGGACGACTACTGGAGCATGTTACCGACCACAGCGTGCATGTCTGTGTGCACTCGGATTAAAGCGAACCGGCGCTAAATGCATGTGTGCAACAGATGTCAGGGTCGGGCCTTTGTTGTTTTTAACACCAGTCTTTAAAGTTGTAAAACACTAAAAAACAAAATCAAATTTGAACCAATTTTAATCTTGGTACTTCAAAATTTTTTTCATTTAAAGCTGGGTTTTCTTTCAGTTATTTCTTGTTCGTGGTGAGACATGATCAGGGCTGCGGTGGTTAAGGAAGCAGCCTTGTGTCCGGAAGGTCAGGGGTTTGATGCTGTGCTGTGCATCAATGCCAATAACTCTAATGTCTTTCTTCTTAGAAACTTTGTTAACACTTAGTTTTATAATTGTTTATAATTGTGAAATTGTAAATCACATTAGAATCATGATTTTCCAGTTTGAATTAATTGACTTATAACGACTTAAACGATGGACATAGACGTAATTTTAAACGACGTGTTCATCTGTCTGTTTGTCACGGTTGTCGGTTCGACTTCCTGAAGCCGAGCGCTGCCGTTCACAGATGCCACTTAATGCATCACGTGCACCTTCTCTGCAGCTCTAGGTGCATCATCGCCACCTACAGGGCTGTGGCGTGCGTCATTGTTTTGTCTGTGGTTTCTGTCAGAGAGGAAAGCCCTTTCCTGACACCAGGAGGCCTGTTTGTACAGAGCTAAGACGTGGAAAATACTTTGTTGATTTGGAGAGAGCAGCAGCAGCAAGCTTAGGCACGGCCGCCGACAAACAGCGAAGACAATCAGTTGGACGGAGTGCAACGGTGGAGAAACAATGGAGGCCATTCATCGGCAGAAGGTCAAAAGCATGGGTGTGACTGATTAAAGGAGGGTCGGTGTTTGACGAAAGCTAATAACAGCTGGGCCTTCCCCCGGTACGACGGAGAGGAAGTGATAAATAATGTTGGTTCACTGGAGTCAAACACTGACCTCCGAGTGAAAGAGAAAGAAACAACGTTCCTTTCATCCTGATTAACGCTGTCGTTTACAGACGGGACCTG